TAGAACAAAAGTTACGCTTAACAATTTCAAAGATCTGTAGATTCCCCCTTCCCCCACTGGTGGAAGAAATTGTCACTAAACCATTTCTTCTTTCTATCAGCATATCTTCAAAATCCAGTAGGTCCCAAGGACGCTCAAGTAAATCCCAATTTAGCATCGTGGGCTCCCCTACTATAATGGATTTATTCGATTCTACGTTGTAATCCGATTAGTGCAAAGTATTAGATTACTTCTGTAAATCGTAACGAGTACGCGTTCGGCGCTCTGATTGATTGGTTCATTGGCGCCGGCCAATCAGAGTGCCGAACGCGTACTCGTTTCGAATACTTTAAACATAAATCTAACTCGTACTCTGTGCGGTAAACGAGCTGACGGATCACCTGATGGCAAACAATCAGCGCCGTCTATGGAGACCCGAAACACGAGAGGAGTTACAAGTGCGTTTTTGGGGATTAGGAATCTGAGTATTGTTGGGGAGTCAGGCATTTGGGAGATCCGGTAACTTCACTCATATGACGAGTAGCAATTTACTGACAGCTATCACTGAGATCACTATCCTGTATAAATACAGGATTTATGAACTATAATCCACATCCTTGTTCACAGGGTAATAAAGTTCGCACTCGTCTAGGAGTGCGTTTTGCAGAGACTTCTCTAACAGCCGTGCCCTCTCGCCTCGAAGTGCCCAAAGTGGTGAGAGGGCCCGCCTGACATCCACCACCACGCCTCCGCTGCGCTGAACACGAGCGATGCCGGGTACTACACCAGTATTACAACGATAAAATTGCTACCGTTTAGTTCATAATTTAAAAAGCAGTGGTTTAAGTATAAAAACGTTTTTGTGTTACCGATGACTTCGTCGGAATTCTAAGAAGTCGTCTAATGCGTGTGGTGGGTCGTTGAACTGCTACCGATGACTTCGTAAAACTTGTAAGAAGTCGTCTGATCCGAATTGTGGGTTGTTACTAAGGAGTGTGCGAAAGTTTGTTTATTCGTTCAGCAGTGAATGTTTTCGTACTTTTGCTTTTAGATTAAATAATATTTTTGAATTAGTTAATTAATAAAGTGGGAAAAAGAACAATTTTTGAGAAGAACGGCGATAATATAAACTGTGTACTCGTATATAGTTAATAAATACTTATTGCGGCCTAAATGATGTTTGTTACTTATGACATTACGGAATTGGAAGATAGGAAAATAATAATCTCTGTAGATATAAACAAGAATGAATCACAAAAGGCGTTGCTATGCGGAATTTTCCGAGTGGAAAACTCGACTAATTTTTTTTTTTTTTTTTTGGAATGGTTTTGTGAATTCCGTGAATGTTTTCTCAGACGTTTTAAAGAATGCAGGAACATAAAGTTTTGTTGTTTTGTTACGTATTACCTACATTGTCCGATATAGACGGAAAAAGGAGGGAATTCGATATTAGTAAAAAATGTCTCATAATTATTATCAAGGTCTCGAAATAACTACCACAATTTATTGTAACACATTAGTACCTACATCCAATAGTCCACTATAAAAACATAGAAACCAATGAGATTCTTCACAATTTTATTTAGATCTACATACATTAATTAAGTTCTTGATCATTTATGAGTACGGCTTCTTTTCTTTTTATTATTAAATTGTCTTCTTTTTGTTTTTTTTACCCGACTGCCAAAGAAGGAGGGTAATGTTTTTCGAGTGTATGTAAGTATGTATGTATGTCTTTTCCTTTGTGACCACCTGTAGCCTAAACGGCTTGATGGATTTTGATGTATGAGGTATCGTTAGATTTTTTAATATTTGGTCTGTTGTCAAAGATCTGCTCTTACTCTGATCATTCACTAGTACCTGCTACCCTAAACTTATTTAGCTTATTTAAAATTAATGATCAATTAAAAGAAAATTTATTATAAAAGACTGAATAACATTTGTTCTGCAAATTAATTAATTAATATTGTAATTGATGAGGTAAATTGACTCGATTTGTTAGGATTCATATATAATTAAAATAAATGTATTGAAAATATTGTAATCTTGCATTTTAATTAACTGGCAAAGGTGTGTTTTAATTCAAAATGTTACTTGAATAAATCAATAAAATAATAATCTAAATTTATCGCAAGACATGTGGAAATATTTTGGGATTTTGGGACAACATAAATTATGCAATATTGCAATTTCTAACTGAAAATTATGCAATCTGTTAAATTATTACTATTTAAGTTATTTCAATTATCGAATTAGAAGGTTTATGAATTAAGAGAAAATAGCTTTTGTACCTTAAAAATATTTTAAAAGCCCATACGCTTTTATAAATTAGAGGACTTTACATATGGATGACTTGTACCTCGACGTATTTCTCTCGGGAGGTGATAATACAATTAATTTCCTACAAAAATTGCCTTGAGGTCCCTAGTACGAAAGTGGCTAGTTTCTGAGATATTCAACATTTTTGATTTTGGTCAAAATCCCGAGCTAACTACAAAAACATCAATACCTAAATAAAAAACTACTGATTTAAGGGATTTTAGTTTTTTATTTGTGGGCAATTTCAATACATTAATAAATATTTATTAATATTAATACTGGCAGAAATATTATTCGTTTTAAAATAGCGAGTAAATTAGTATCAAATTTTTGTTGTATCGATAGGAATACGTCGTTACAAGTCACCCTGTACATTATTTTAAGAGATACTGTAGATACAAAAAAGTTGTGAAATACCGTTGGCTTGTTTCATAATCAAAATTGGAAAAAGTTCTCAATATGAAAGATTTTTTTTTAATTTGTTTTACCGAATAAAACCTCACCTTACCTCATGACAGTGATGAGGATAAATTTGATCCGGTAACTAAACTTTTCTTGTTTTTATCCCCCTATCTTATTATTCTATATTTTTTATGTTAATTTTTGCTGTGACTACTTTAGTTTGTATTTATTTTAGGTCTAGTTTTTTATTATTTAGTTTATATGTATGTATAGATTAGTTTAGCTTTATTAATAGTTGGTAATTAATGAAAATAAATAAATTTGTTTCTTTTTTGCATATTTAATATCTGATATTATCGTATTGTACATTATTTAACAAAATGTTTTTGTTCATTTCTTTACTCTTTAAAGTTTATTATTAATAGATACTTTGTATTTATGTACCTAAGTATCTGTATTTTTTATAAATGTTTTGTATACCAATTGCCAAATAGATGTTTGTTCTTTCTTTATTCCGTGTGTAATAAAACTTGTAACGGGTTCTCTTTCATATGTGTTTTAACTACTGTTTTATAGTTATGGTATCTTTTAACGCATATTTATACAAAACTGTTTTTACTGATGAATGTACGTGTATAAAAAGGCCGCTGCTGTACTCAAATCTTGCTGTGAAACTACATCCATGCATGTTCATACTGTTCAATGTTGTGCATCATTGTTATTGGATATCAAACGTAATGGAAATAAATAAATAAATGTGGAATATAAACGTTATTGTTTTATTCACTACAACTTTTATTTATCTTGCAGGTAGGTATATGTTATGAATTTCTCGTTGGCCGAGTGGTCGCAAGTACATAATGTACGACTGTCGGCAAGGGGTCGGGATTATGATTGTATTATTGGGATTTTTAAAATAAATCTCAGTAATAGCACAGAGTCTGGAATTGTGCCAGGTATGTAGCAATAGGCTCACCCCCAATTACACGGGACTCATAACATAAACAGTGAAAAGTAGATGTTACATTGTACAGTGGCATTAAGTGCCGTAATGTGTACTTTTGCTTACCCTTTCGGGGATAAAAGGCATGATGTTACACCCACTTTTCACTATTTATGTTATGGGTCCCATGTAATATAGAGGGAGCTTATTGCCATATACCGAGCACCTACGTGCGACTACTGAGAATTAAAAAAAACCAGTAATACCATAAGGTATAGATAGTAATGACTACTTCCGCGCGGTTCCACACGCTCTGCTCAGCTCCGATTGGTCGTAGCATGATGTTTTATAGTCTATAGTCATCTTCGATAAATGCGCTATCCAATACAAAAATAATTATTCAAATCAGGCTTGTAGTTACGGAGATTAGCGCGTTCAAACAAGCAAACAGACAAAAAAGCAAACTCTTCCGCTTTATATAATAGTAAGTATAAGATGTAACAGATCAAGTATTAACTTTATCTCTTTAATCTTAGCATAGCTAGCTGAGAGTTATATCTTAACCTTCTATTCAGTCCTGCACCGCTTAGGTGTACTATATCTATAGTCTTTGAATTCAGACTTCGATCATATTTTATCGGAACGTGGCTATTTACTCGAGGAGCTTGTCCCACGTTTTGATCGTGAATTCCATCGTTCAATTCAAGCTCACTTAGGAATCGATTCGGAATCCTTTTGGTATGAGTTTTACTCTATTTTGTGAATAGATATTACGTATGTACGTAGTATATGTATAACTCAGTGATCTTGCGGTTAGTGAACTTGGAAAAATGAGTTTCAATGTGGTTTCAATACTAAAGGTTCCTACTGTAATTAGAGTAGGGTAAATGCCTTATTTTAATTTTAATGTCCGTCTGATAGATTATTTTTAATCATTAGACACGTATTTTTTATTTTCTTACAGAAACGAAGACTTTCGACGATAATATATTGATTTGAAATATCGCGTGACGTCACTTCTATGTACATTTTATGCGTAGAAATTACGTTTTAGCCCCCACTCTTAAACTTTGATTCGTTTTATCTAAGTATTGTTATATTATACTTCAAAATAAAAAATACGTCTAATATTTTTTATTACCTAACTTATGAACCAATTAGATTTTTAATTTTCATACCTTGTCATCATCCCAATTGGTCTAAAATAGCAAGTTACTAGGCGTTCCATTGAGCAAACATTTTTGTTACAATTAAAACAATTATAATAGGTACACGTTTTCCCTCCAGTTGGAATTTATCACCCTCTAACAAGTTCACTCTGACACGTGGATTTTTAAAAACTTATTCGACGATTTCCTTCGTGTGAAATTTTTAGAAAACTAACCTAAGTACTTTCGTATTTGCACCGTGAGCGAAGTAGCACATGTCTATTAAAGTCTAGATTTTATATGTCGTTAGGAACTATTTGGAGAATTCGTTTACGTTCGCGTGTTGGCCAGAAATTCCCAACTTCTTCCGACCAAGTTCAATATTAGTTTGCTTGAGAAAATTCTAGCTGCTAGATTTTATTTTCTTAGATCATCGCATCAAGGATGAGTTGATAATATTATTACAACCCGGTCACATTATATTGAGGCCTCACTGATAATCATCATTAATGATGATTTGATGAATTGATGCCGAATTGGTGGCTTGTTCGTCCGCCAGCGCAAGGCCCTGTCTTGCACATGCTGAACTGGTCCCATTTCACGGCAGACTTGGGGCATGAACATGTAACCATCAGTACCTACTAATACAATGACTTTTATGTACATGTCACTTGTTTTTTGGCGTGAAATAAAGTTTTTTCTTTCTTTCTTTCTTTCTTTCATTATAAAAATATTACCTATATTAAATTAATAAACAAAATATTTGTTTTGGTTAAAATCTTATTTCTTATATTAATATCCTGATTGAAGATTCTTGTTTTCCGCAGCATCAAAGCGCCTACACGACGTGACGTCATCAACTCCAGGTCTCTATATAATGTAATGTTCTAGTTGAATACAAAATCAGCTAGTTCGTCTTT